CACCCTCCTTTCGCCTCCCCTCGGACGCCTCCTCCGGCGACCTCCCTTTCTGCCCATAGTGCGGTCACCTTTGCCTGTAATCGGGGAGATATCTTTCCTTTCTTTTCTTTTTCTTTTCTTTTTGTTCCTATCTTTGCTCGCGCAAACGGTATTAAGAGGTTTGAGGAAAATTATGTAAAAGAAGAGATTGGCATTGGGAATTGTATCGAATTTGTTCGGTAATGATGCAGTGGATTCTTTTTTAAGGTAATGGATGATGTTTGTGAGATTTTGTTGGGATTTATATCGAGAGGTTTGAGTTGGATGAGAGGATAAAGAGGAAATTAATGAATTTATTTGGTAATGTTGTATTTAGTATTTAATATTTGGTTTTTGGATTCGTTCAAATGAGTATTAGGAAGTTTGAAAAATAAATATGAATTATTATTGAATCTATTCGGAAATGAATAAATAGATTTGATATTTGGTATTTTTAAGATAAGATGAAACGATAAAAGAGGAATTGAATCTACTCGATAGTTTTCGTTTTATTTACTTGGATGAATATTAAAAATTTTGAAAAAGAATGTTTTTCTAAGATGAATGCAGTGATTCGCATTAATATTGTTTGACATTGAATATTTGTATTTAATGAATGCACAAATTTTTTGAACAATAATGATATTATCATAGAAATAATTTATTTATATATGAAAAATTATGTGCATTAAATAAGTGAAATTTATGATTCTATTAATTGTAATAAGTGTTTTATCGTATTGCGAATCATTGGAAATAAAATAAATTTTTACAACTTGACTTTTCCTTAGATTCCTCACGTACTTTAATCTTTTATCCTTGTAGATATCTCCTTTCACTATTTCAGCAGGAACATGTTCAGCCTATAAAAATCAAATCACAGGATAAATCTCCACGTGAGATTTTTTAAATTGTATTATAGAAAAATAACTATCCATATTAATGATTCTATTTTATAATTGATTATAAAAATTCTAAATACACACAAAACACATATCAAATTTTAATTTGCACGCAACGAAATTATTACCGAGGGAATTTTAGTAATTCTGATATTAAAATTAAAAATCAAAAATACGTCAGAATTGATAAAAATATTTAAATTAAAGGAATAATTATATTTATAAAATCCTTTTTTTTTATTTTAGTCTAATTTAGCTTTTATTATATTTAATAATAATGTTAAGAGTTAAATAGTATATAAAAGTAGTATATAAAATATATAGATATAAACTTTGCAAAGCACAATGGTGGAATTCAATGAAGTATTAATTTTCATTATATTAATTAAATATAGAATTTAACTAACTTTTTTCAAACAATTTTTTATTCTTAAATCAGATAATCGAATGTACAAATAATGTGTAAATAAATTATTTCTATTTTAAAATTTTTTCACAATTGTAAACAAAAATTTAACAGATTTCAATATGCCATTTAATAATTTGAAAAATGCGCTATTCTAGGATAAATATTATCATAGAAGAATAAGGAGGAAAATGTCACAATTGTAAAATTATATATTTTTATTCTAATAATCATAATTCTTTCAATATTTTTCTAATTGTGATTATTGTTTGATAATTTTATAATAATTTAATCGCTATATTATAATAACAATTTTATAATAATTTTATAATAAATCGCTATATTACAATAACAATTTATTAAATTAATAATATTTAACAATATGTAAATAATACAAAGTATCTGAAATGTAAGAAATCACTTTAATTGTATTTATTTCAATAAATAAATTAAAGTATAAATAATATTATTTTTCATCATCTTATGTCGAAATGAGAATTGATCATTTTTACACAATAATTTATACAATTCAATTATTTTTCAAAACAACTTAAAAATTTTATAAAAATTAAACGTGCGTAAATCGTGTGCTTAAATTTTTATGAGAAGGCATCCTTTGTTACTATTACGGCGAAGAATTCCAAAACTTTCCACGACTATGTCGTTTATAATTTAATCCTAGCATTCCTTAGACCATAGTATCCTGCGGTATAAACTTTATATCTAACTACGTCACGCAACTTGTGCGTCATGAATAATAAAAGATAATACATAAAAGAAACAATGTTACAGTTTTATTGGAGAAAATCTTTTCAACAAGATCAATTCAAAGAAATATTTCTCCAAATCTTTGAAAATTATTATGATTCAAAATATTTCAAAGTATTTTTAATATTGCAATAAATTAATAAAATATTGCAAAATATATAATTCATGAATAAAAAAAATATTATTATATTATAATGAAGTAATTATGCAATAATTTACTATAATTTGTGATTTTTTTCTTTCAAAATTACATAAAAATGCATTTTTGATAGAATGAAATAAATATAAATTT